CCCTGAAAAAGGGCAACTTCTAGGATCTAAATGTCACACTTTTCAAAAGGTTTTACAGCTATCACTCGATCCAAATCGAAATAATTTGTTTAGTACAGATATGGGTTTTGCTGAAAGCAGGCCTGCAGCCCAGGGGCCCACAGCCTGCAGCCCACGGCCTGCTGCTGCCTAGTGGCCCAGTGACCCAGCAGCCTGATCCTGATTTTACTCTAAGAAGGAGACCACTGGGACTGGCAAAGTGTCCACTGTAGATACAGTCATTGTAGAGATGTCCACTTTATAGAGGGTCAAAGTAAATTACAGATGAATGAGAGGGACCAACTCAAGGTGTCCACAATTATTTTCTGGGGGTATTCATTTCAAGAGAGTTGATGATTATACTTGAATAAATAACCCTGCTAGTGATTTGCACAGAGAATTGAACACCTGCTTATTACCACTTATTTCCATGCCCACCACATTACTACATTTGGATTAGTATATTAATTTTGAGTCAGTATTTTTCACCATTTGAATGAAACCACTTGGTAAACTTTCCATCTTGAAAATTTTATTGTCAATCTACCTTCTCTGAAAGGTCCTTTTTTCCGGCTTCCTAATGACAAAGGTTAAAATTAACTAGCACAAAGCTACTTGTAAGTCCATGCTCCTTGACTTAAAGGCAGGTATGTATAGTTGTTACATCTATTACCATACTACGAGGTTGTTATACCCCCAGGTGGTCACAATAACAGGGTTTCACTTACAGTAGAGTGCGTACATCACTGTGGAAGCAATGATGACTGATAAAGTGATATGGATCACTTGGTGGCAGACTTCCAAATAATATTAGCTAATTTAATTAACCAGTGTTTTAGGAATCTCAGATAAAAATATTGCTATGCTGCAGACAACAGTGTTTCAAGAGGGAAACGGAAACATAGGGAAACATCATGAGTGTTAGACATTAAGTGCAAGGTTTAAGTGTATGGTTACTTATCATCAAGACTGCGTTATGTTAGTGACTATCACATATTAACAGACCATTTATGCCCCTTAGTTTTAACCTTATGGAACAAAAACCACAGGTTAAAAGAGCAACATAATGGACTCTGATGGTGTAAAACTGGGACAATGTACTGAGTGCTTGGATTGTGAGGGTAAATTCTGAATATTTTACAAAAGCCTTAAGTAGCTACCAGTAAGTAAGATATGTTACTAGTTAAAATTGGCTCCCAGAAAGTCCTCCTTTGTATTTACACTAAAAGTCTTGAAATGGTGAACTACTAGTTTTGAGCCCTAATATAAATTATGGCGTTTTCAAGTTTTTCAAGTACACTGCACCGTATAATTTTATAATAATAATCACATCACATGGACGATTGCACTTTTGGGTATAACTTACAGATTTTAGGTTTCTGGAGGATTCAAAGTTAAAGCAGTTGTTTGAGTAACACGTGCTGGATGTATGAGGACGTTAGATATTGCAGGTGATTACCATGAGTTCAGATCGCATCTGAGGCCACAGCATAGCAATATCATCTGAGGCTCGTAAATATGATGACTTGAGGAATAATACAGCCTACAACAAACAGCACTACCCTGAGTATAAAAATAATAATAATTTACCATCTTTCTGGTATACAGCTGTATGATGAAAAATAAGTATAAATACAGTCAAAGCTGTTGTAAGTGGCCACCTTGGAAATTAAAAAAAAGTGGTCATAACTAGAGCTGGTCACTTACAAGAATGAGCCGTTGTAAGCGACCTTATGGTAAAACAATAGAAGCTTCAGAAACTCATTAATAATTCACAAAATAAAAAATAAAAGAAATTAATGTTTAAATAGTATCTTTATATCTGGTACAGACAGGACTAAACTTTTCATCCAATTTTTTAGACCATTAGCACAGTGTGCTATTCATTAAGGTGTTGATTTATATGAAAAAGACCCTGAGAGGTTGCTGAGTGGTCACTTATGAGACCTTAAAAACAAGGAAAAGCCCAGTTGGGTAATCCCAAAAGTGGTCACGGTTGCTTACAAGAGCAGTCTCTTATGAGAGCATTTTTTACAAGTTTAAGTCACAGTTCAAATGGTTTTCAAAAAGGTGGTAGCAACAAGAGCTGGTTGCTTAGGAGAGTGGTCGCAAGGAGGGCTTTGACTGTAATAAAACATTGCAATTACTACAGTTAGAGGGCATATCAATTAATTACCTATTACATATATAACTGAATTTAAGCACTATAGCTGTACTGTTGCATGAATTACATGTAATGTACATTAAAACTTAGGGGTGTCATTGAGGGCTGGGGGCCAGGGATTTTTCCTGGCAACAATGAACAGGGACCCCACCTACTTTAGTTGGAAAATAGAAGAAAAATAGAACCAAACGATATCCCCTGCTGTTCGATTCCCCGCCTAATTGTATCCTTCACCTGGCAACTTGAAATTTTAAAGACAGCTCTGATTAAATAATTATCTGCATGTTATTTTCTATTGATATACATTGTGTATACAAGAGGAAACAAAACTATACTTGTAAAATTGATTAATAATCGAAGAAGAAACGTTAAATATACTAAACTGAAGGAATGACTTGGAATACAAAACCCAAAGTGACTCACAATAATGTTGTCCTTGATAAATACAAAAATGTTATTTTCATACATCTTTTCCTTCAATTTATTTAATTAAATATAATAACTCAAAAAAAATATATATTACTAGGTTGGAATCGGAATGGGATTTGCAATGTTTCATCACAGAAAATGTCCATACAGATATGCTCCACCCATTTTAACTATTATATCAAAATTACTGCCAGAACTGAAAGGGATGCTCATGATGGAATTGTGAAAACATACTAGATTAAAGTCTTACTAATGAACTTGTCAGCAACAAGAAAATTATTTTACAATACAGTCATTTGTTACAAATAAAATTAACAGTAGTTCAACTGTCAGGACGTCACAGTTTAATGTGAACTTCACTTATTCTCCTTGTGCCATGTGAACGAGCACACTTAACTCTCTAGGCCTTTTGTTGCAACTAAGTTTTCAGCCAAAACTTATCACTATTGCCAGGAGCCTACTTTTGAACATGCCATCACTTAATGTTTGAGGAAGGTACAGTGTATATAATCTATGGGACCTTATATCTTTTACACATGCGTAAACTTTTATAAAAGTGAAACTTTCAGTTTCCGATCTTTCCTGAATCTATGACCGACCAAAAAAGTCTAGCAATGATGTGACCAAAACATTCATAGTCAAAGATGTTGCTTTAAGTAATTATCATCATTAGGATAATATAGTAATGTTTCTTACCAATCTCTTCTCTAAGTCATTACCAGTCCCCTGCATTGAAGCAGCCAGCCTCTTATTTGTGGCATGACATGCATGCTTGATCTTATCCACTGTCTTCTCAACCTACAAACATTCCATTCAGGAAAACTAAACATCCTTAGCCTACTACAGGTATCCATTGGTATATGATATTCTTCAGCTGAAATGATTAATAATTTAAGGTATATACTAGCCAATTCCTAGTATATTGGTTATAGTTATGGGCAGAGCATTTGCATTTGCACATTCTTGAAGTCCTCTCTGAGACAACTGCATTGGAGTATTTTTGCATGGGCATGCAACATTACTGGAAGAAAATATAATAAATGCCCAACATCATTCCTGGAAGGTTGGAAAGTCAGACTTGGAATTGATGCCAGGGTAGTTGCAATTAGAGTTATTTTGTTCCAATATGCAAAGCAAATTTAATCATTAGTTACCTTCAATTTTAACTGGAGAGCACATTTTAATGGATATATTCTCTTGAAAAGCGTCAACAAGTCAAGTGTTTTGAAAGGTGGATAGAACAATTTTTATGATCAGTAGTCCTAGAAGAGGAGAATACCCGGCACCTCCTTTCCTACACATACCTAGGTTTCTACTAAAACAGCTATAATTTGGTTTTCATTCCTCACAACTGGAGTTCCCTTTCCCTGCACCTTGCTATCCACGATATTAAATGAAACATTGGCTACTTTCTCTGTTGTCGAAACTTAAATTTTAGTTGCAAGGATCTTTATTTTGATGATTTTATCTGATTAATTTTCATTTTTGTTTCCTTCAGCTACTTACATGCTGCAGATCCTCGGTTAAAATCTCAGTTTTTTCCGCCCTAGAATAGAAAAAAAAATAGCAAAGATTAATGTACCTTTCTTTTATAAATTATCGCACTGAAAATGCAGTAGTTGGGGAGGCTCACTTCCGTTGAAATGGGCAATGCACAACACGTACTGTCACTTGTCTGTTTAACGAAGAGAAGCGACTTACCTTCCAACTCGCTGATCAGCTAGCTGCTTCACGCGATAAAACTGTTTCTTCATTATTAAAGAAGCATTTAGTCTTTGTTTTTAACCGGAGAAAACCTGAAATCACACCATCAAATACACTTTTCTTGAACACATCACGGAATTTCCGCCATGTTGGTTGGAATTTATAAAGTGAGTGCGAGTTACATTTGGTCAGCGGTCGGCTTATGGACGTGAAAAGGAAGTCTTTGTTTTTACCAGGATTTTTACGTAATATGCCCAAAAATATAATACGTGGGTTAGAAGGCCAGAAATCAAATTTTAAGGCAAAACTTGAAATCATCGGCTTTGCTTCCCGATTGTTTGAAAACCTGGGGGTGGAGCAGCCAATTTTGCCGGAAATAAGTCACATTCTTCTTAACTGGTTGTCAAGGCTCTATTTAGCCCCTTGCTGCGAGACGGCTGCGAGCCGAACTTTCTGCTGTTTCCGGTTTTTTAGGGGAGGATGCTGGTTTGTTTATAACTAGCCTTAAGTTCTAAACCACAACAGCCTTTGTAAATAAGATCAACTCCATTTGTACAACTTGAATCAAGACTAACAAAGGCAGATTAATTCTTCGAAAAGGTGATTGGCAAAAGAATATTGACATTGAAGTCCCATACCACCCGACCCCAAGGTGCATCTGCTCTGTTTGGACGAACGCGACCATCGACCAGGATAGAAAACTTGTCGTTTGATCAAGTTTTGCCGATGACAGCGTACGTTTCATTTGATGGCATTTCCGCTTGTTCTCCTGTTAAAATTAAACGGTAAATTTGAGTCTTTCTTCTTTGGCAAGTCAACCCAATACGATGGAAATCGTGGTTGAAGCTTCAGAAATCTTTCTAGCCTGTCGATGTATTATTGATTGACTGTCGATGCCAATCGTTATGGCGACACTGGTTCTTTATAGTTTCGCTGTTTTTCTACTGAATCTGTTATGGGAGCCCTCATTTGTCGAAGGTAAGAACTTGCTTTACAATCCTTATAAGCGAACGATTATTCACGATGTTTATCAGCTTTTTAGGAGTGAGCAGCATCGCAATCTTGAGCTGGGCGACATCTTGACCGAAGATCATAAAAATGTTTAATATGTTTTGGCTTTCTCATTTGACAGATAATTAGATCGTTGGAAAGGTTTAAAGCACTTCTCGCTAGATAAATCTTCTACCAAAAGAACTGCAAATGTAAAAGCTTTGACCAATACTTAACTCAGCTCGAGTACAGCTGGGCATGTAACTTATATTTGTGCACATAGGATGTTAGCGGATTTCCTACAAATCCTGTCCGTTTGAACACTCAGAAGTCCCGGGTTTTCCAAATTTAATACCTAAATAATCTTTGTGGGATTTATGGAGTAAAAACGGCGAACTTGTTTGAGGCCTGTATATATTTTAAAGCAACCACTTTTCGGCGGAAAAATTTCCGTATTGCGACTTGCAATCTGCTATATTTGCCTAGTTTTGCATAAGCAAATAGGGGATATTTCTTGTGAGCTACTGTAAGCTTCGCTCGGAGAACCGGTCTATAAAGCAACAACCGTGTCCCTTTTTCTATTCCTATTATGGAGATTAAATTATCAGTTTCAATTAAAATATTAATCGACCGTACAAGTTTGTATCGACAGCAACTGGCCGAGGTCCAAAGTGTTTTATTTATCCATTTGGAACGATCTTCTTCCGGTCTTCGCCTTTTGCCTTCACCTTCCTTGTCACGTTTAATTAGCTAAAACCCATGAACAACGTGATATAAATGTTTCTTAATATTTTTATAAAAATGTTATCTGTTTTCCTCCCTTTGATCTAATGGGTAAAGACTTCCTGTCTGACTTTTCTATAAATAATTTTCCTGAAGGTTTAATGAATGTGCGTGCATGTTCTTTTTTAATTTTTGGTCGATGACATATTACAGTGTTCGCTTGTTTGCAGCTGAAATTTATTTTAGAAATGACATAATTGTTTGATATTGTGATGTCTATGCAAATTAATGACGCTTGGGAAAATGAGGACAAGTTATTCACCAGGGTATTCAGTAGTTTAATTTCTTTGTTCCTTTCCATTATTTAATTTTTAGTCAATTTGATAAGTAAACTTAAATAATTAGATAATTGACTCATTGACTTCAGCTGTCTTCAAGTCTAGTGCTGTGTGAAAAATTTTTTGATTCTGAACCTATGATATCCACAGTGCCCAACATTTCAACAAATTTCATACAAACCATGATTTTCTTGCAATGAAAAGGCAAAAGTCACAATTAGCGGCCTGTTAGTCTCCCTCTCACCTGTTTTTGTGTCATCAAGCAACTCTCCTCCCCGTCTCCCTCTCAGCTGTTTTTGTGTCATTAAGCAACGCTCCTCCCCAAAAAACAGCTGGTCACATTTGAACCACTTTCCTTTCCAAACTTTAGCCAATAACAGCTACTGTTCTTTTTTCTGGAATTGCTTTGTGCCAAACTATCCCTTCACATGCTGTCCAATCTTTGTCTATTTTCTATCATGTCATATGGGATGTTGAGTAGTCTCCTACAGAAGCCATTATTTGTCTCTTTATGTACAATAGAAATCTTGGTAGCTGTGACCATATTATATTTTAGTAAAATCCAGCAAGTGGTCTATCATCAATGCTGCATTCTGATTGGTTGAGCTACTACTAGGCTATATATTATAGCCCACTAGTAGCGAAAAGTGCTGGCTTTTTGGCAGCAAAAAAGAATTAAAGTCTATCTTTCTCGAGCTAAAGTTGTTTTGTCTCTATATTTTTTGACCAACTAGTTGGATTGTACTAAAACAATTATTCCTCTCGTCCTCGTGGCCTCTGAGTCAATAGCCCATTCGGCCGAATTGACTCAGACCCCATTCGGGCTCGAGGAATAATTGTTAAATATTGCTCACAAACTCATAATTGAGGCAGACTAGCACTCCTCCATCTGAGCAAACTGACCATTCTCTAAGAGATCAATATTTTTCTTAGTCTAATACTGTTGCTCCTAAACTATGTACACTGATTCATTATTTTTCTTTGCAGGCACTAATTCATCACAGTCGTCATTCAGTAATTTTTCAACTCCTGCAGCAGGCAATGGCATTCATACCCATCTGGTTCCTTCTAATATGACTCAAACCACCACTAGTTCTCTATTGGTTAATTCTACTGCAATACTCTCTGCAACTCGTGGATTACCTGGAATAAGGGAGAATGAAACAGGCGCTCAAATTGATAAAGATGGTACCAGGGAGAGAAGTTCAGGCAAAAATGAGCATGGTGTCCAGCCAAAAGAACCAAATAGTACTAGAATTTATGTACCAAGTGACCAAACTGATGATAAAGGTACAAGTAATAAATAAATAAATAAAAATACAATGTATGTTTTGGAGGGATAGTTTTGGGTTTAGGATACCCTGAGAAGCTTTCAATACTTGAAATAGTTTTTGAATCATAGGAGGATCGGATTGCTGAACAATTAAAATACTCTTTCACTACCAGAGAAGTATTTTGCTAAAAAGGCTTGAAACATTTTGATAAGGGCAACAATTTTGATATTTTGTGGGGTGGCAAAGTTTTGAACAAACAACTCTGTCCCCATTACATCAGAGTCACACCTTCCCCCTTCTACATTACATAAGGCAGTACAAATTTTTTTCACCTAATTATGCAGGGTTTCTGATATTTCGCGGAAAAAAAAGCAAAATTTCACGGGATTTTCAGGGGCAAATTCGCGGAAAAATTGGCCAATTTCGCGGGATTTTCGCGGGAAAAAAGTCAAAATTCGCAGAAAAATCGGCCAATTTCGCGGGATTTTAGCGGAAAAAAGTCAAATTTCGAAGGATTTTCGGGGCAAATTCTAAGACAAATCGGCCGATTTCACAGGAAATTTTGGGGGGAAACTTTGCCAAGAAACAATCAGTAAAAAACAGCCGATTTCGCTGGATTTTTGTGGCAAATTTCGCTAAAATCGATCAATTTTGCGTCGATATGACCAGCATTTGTTTAACGTTTTTTTAACAGGGATAATCATTAATTTTGCTCTTTCAACAACGGTTCGCTCGAGAAATGAGCGAATGCTAAAGCTGTTTACATTATGGTTAGTGCCCAGTTTTTCGCAACGTTCATCTAAGAACGCCTGGTAGTTTTGAGACGTTGTTTACTCGTTGCAGTGACGAAGTTTCAAGATAAATTTGGATGTTTGGGGTGAATAGAACAGGTCTAATCGCCAAGATAAGTATTAAATATGTTTTGCCAACATGTATTTGGAAATATTTCTGTCGGATTTCGCGGTATTTCGTGTTTTTTTGGGAATTTCGCGGGATTTCGCGGAAATACCTGAATTTTGCGGGTCCGCGACCGCGCGAAATATCAGAAGCCCTGATTATGTCATCGGAGATAGTCCATAATGTCAAAAAATATAATATACCACCTGTAGCATCTGTTTACATTCAGTCATGTTTTACAAGTTGACGTTAGCAAGTAACATTGACTGGTCACTAGGAAGTGAAAGTTTTGCTTGATTCATGGCAAACAGTTTTCTAAAATTATTTCTTTATGTAGGTGGTGTACCATTTTGGGCATACATCATCATTGCTGCTGGAGTGGTTCTTCTTCTTATTGCTGTAATAGTTATCCTTTATGGGAGAATGGATAGATGGTAAGGCAACGCCTGCAGGGGTGGGGGGCATGCCTTTGCTCTGGATTTAGGGATGTTACAAACACTAAAAGTTTGCTTAATAGGTTATATATAACAAAACGAAACCTACCAGTTATTATGGACAAGTCAAAGAGATTTTGGAAAAAGGCAAAGGGAAACAGCTGGGAAACAATTTTTTTAACCACGGTGGGCATATAGGACGCAAAAAAGTGCATCCTTGGAACTACTTTTGCATTTTTTATTCGTTTGAGCTCAAACTTTGTCAGATGGTGGAATGTTGTTTTGCAAAAAATCCTATGTTTTTTGTTTTTCAATTTTAACTGTTTTGGTGGGAAAACGACGTCAGATTGATTGACAGCAAAATTTAAATTTCAAGTTACGGCAAACATATAAATAATCTTGGAAGAGCATGACGTGACAGAAACAAATGTGAAAAAATTTTTGGAAAAGCTCAATTTCTTTAGGAGATATAGCATCTTGAAATGTACTTATGTTTCTAAAAATGGTAACAAAATGGCAAGGAATTCAAAAATCAAAGCTTAAGGTATTGGAACTGCTATAAACTCAAAAAATGATCATGCTTATAAAATCGCTTCTTTAAAATGTACTCTTACCTGAACTCAAATGCCAAAAGTGAAGCATTTTCGTTAAATATAAGCCGAGAAAACAAAGGCCAAAGTTAGTATCTAAGAGTGCCTTTTTGGAAATATTTATAATCACAGGGCTGAAATCTGACGCGATACTTTCCGTTGTTGACAGAAATGTTGCAATTTTCACAACCCGACACACGATAATGCGTTACCAGTTTCAAGTAAGCCACGGCAAATTATAGCAAATTTGCTTACATTCTGCTTCCCCAAATGAAGTATGATTGTTTTGATTTTCTAAATAATTTCTATTGCAGTAAAAAGCCTTCTAGAGACACATTAGATATTTGATCCTTGCAAGGTCAATGACAGATAAGGCCGCAGTTTAATGATCTATTATGTAAATTAGCACGTTGCTAAGGCTCCGACGCCATATTGAGAGCACGTCATGCAACGAGTTCAAACGAAGATTTTTGTATTTTCTTGCCACTTCCCATGCTACAATCGGGTCAGTGTCACAACAAACATTAAGAACAGCAGTTTACTCATAAGAATTCAAGAAGACGATGAAGGAGACAGCGCAGTGCTATGAAAATTAAGGGCGAATTAAGGGCAATTTTTCGGCTGTGCTGGACCGCAGTGACAACAAATTGATGTAAAAAGATGAGGATTAATAATACCGCGTTGAAACTTGCCAGGTTTATTCACATAATGTTAAGGAAATGTGCATTAAGTTCCTGGCTATTCCCGGAATATTTTGTAATTTTTGCGGTGGACTGAAGTTACTGGGCATTACAAAAAAATTTCACCTCTATATCTCAGGAAAAGTTTACTGGCTACTACCAGGAATTTAAAGGCAAATGAACAAACTAAGTATAAGTCAGTTCCAATTTTTTTTTATTCCTAGCTATCGAGAGAAAGCCAGAAATAGGGAATTATTGAATTTTTGAGCCTGCGATATAAATCAGAAGTAACACCTTAGATGTGAAAATTGACACCTCAGATGTCAATTTTCTGAAAGCTCAGCTCTCGCTTGATAGGCCTGTGTAATTTTCATTTTGTAAAATTCGTAATCATTTGAGAAATAAATTTTTCAAGTGGAAGGGTTTATAGCAGATCTAATACCTTAACTCTTTAGCCAGTTGAGCTTTTCAAAAAAATATTTCACACTATTCTGTCGTGTCATGCTTTTTTAAAATTATTATTATTTGTTTTTCCACATCTTGATATTTCAATTTTGCTGTAAATCTTGTGATGTCATAGCCTGAATTTCATCCGATTACTTCGAGTCGTTATTACTCCCTCAGTAACGTCTGAATCGACCGGCCGTTAATGCCGTCCAGTGACGTCACTACTCCTTGACCTTTGCTTTAATTCATGCAAAAAGTAAAACACGATTTTCAAGTGGCAAACCGAGAAATATCGTTTGAAAATGTCTCCATGATACATAACTGCTTTATTTTTTTCGATCGTAATTCATGTTTAACGTTCAAACTATCAACTACATGCAGTACAACTCTGAACCGGTAGTACTGAATTCTATAATCAAACTCGGTCGCAATCACGCAATGAAATAAACACACACACACGAAATACTTGGTTCAAAAACACAATGATTTGCTTTAATTGAAAAAAAGCTATCTGGTCCTTAGCGAAGAAAAAAAACAAGGAAACAAGAAAGAAAAGCTAACAGAATCATTTCACTTGACGGTGAAAATAGCAAGAAGATNCTCCCTCAGTAACGTCTGAATCGACCGGCCGTTAATGCCGTCCAGTGACGTCACTACTCCTTGACCTTTGCTTTAATTCATGCAAAAAGTAAAACACGATTTTCAAGTGGCAAACCGAGAAATATCGTTTGAAAATGTCTCCATGATACATAACTGCTTTATTTTTTTCGATCGTAATTCATGTTTAACGTTCAAACTATCAACTACATGCAGTACAACTCTGAACCGGTAGTACTGAATTCTATAATCAAACTCGGTCGCAATCACGCAATGAAATAAACACACACACACGAAATACTTGGTTCAAAAACACAATGATTTGCTTTAATTGAAAAAAAGCTATCTGGTCCTTAGCGAAGAAAAAAAACAAGGAAACAAGAAAGAAAAGCTAACAGAATCATTTCACTTGACGGTGAAAATAGCAAGAAGATTATAACATTGATCTCAGAAAACTTCGCGTCCCGGGCTTCGCGTAAACAAAATCACCGGCCGCCGAAACCACAAAGCGGCTCTAAATGAAAAACCTATCGACTCTCCGCAATGATTCTTCATTCGCAGTTCAATTTAGCATTAAAGTTTCGAAGACAAGGGCAATTTTGCTGTTTAAGATAAAGATTAAGCTTATCGAAATGTTTGAACTGCACGAAAGAATGCCAGGGATGCGATCCGCTGAAAATCAAGCGACAATCCCGCTAAAATTTTCATAATTATACATAATTATGCGAATGTTTAGACAATCAACCAATCAAAATCACTACCCGGTTTTCGGGTAGTGAGTGACGTCACTGGACGGCATTAACGGCCCGTCGATTCAGACGTTGTTGAGGGGAGAAAACGACTCGAAGCAATCGGATGAATTTCAGGCTAGTGATGTCATTTTCCTGTCAAAAACCATTAAAATAAAAAAACAATAAACATAGGATTTTTAAGAATGTACGTAGAACGCGCTAAATAAAGGTTACCAATTCAAGACTTTACTTGATTATCATAGAACTTTGCATTCTTGCAGTTCTACAATCCAGCAAAGTTTGAGCGTAAACGAACAAAAAATGCAAAAGTAGTTCCTTGGATGTACCTTTTTGCATCCTATGTGCCCACTGTGGACTTCTCTCACTTTGTTCTTGTACTGAGCTTAATGACCAGCACATTGATGGCAATTCCTTTTCCCCCTGTCTTTCCTATGATTTGAAAATCAGTGAAGGTGACCATGTGAGTAGAAAAAAGCAGGAAATGCTCATAAGACCTTCTTTACCACAAAAATACACTTGCAGCCAGTCCAAGGCTGTGTTCTAGAAAAGCATTTGGAGAGCCTAATGCTCTGTACCTATGAAATCCAGATGGGTCTTCAGAATAAGTAAGGTGTGAGGGGCCCCCAGGGGGTTACTCTGAATTTCAAGTGATGGGGATGATCAAAGGATTTGTTTGAGTTTGAAATTTTTAATTGTGGGACTTTTTTGGGTAGGATAATTTGGCAAGTATCTTTTTGTTGGTGGATTGATTTAAGTGGGGATTTTTGGGGTATAATTTCAAAACAATCTAAAGATTCGTGATAGTACCAGTGTATGATAACTTCAGATGGTATGATGAAGAAACAAAGTTAACACAATTGAGTTAATTTCTAAATGATTTTATTTTTTTGTGTTATAATTATCACTTAATGCCTTCTGGAAATTTTTAAGGCTTGGAAATTGGGCATTGGATTTTTTGGGGGTTAATTTTTGGTCCAGGGATTTTTGGGGATTGTGATTTTTGCCCCATTCGATCATCCCTTTCACTTGCAAACCAGATTCCCCCAACCCCCCCGGGGGAGGAGCAATTGGGCACTGCTAGAGCACAGCCCTTCATTTAGGAATTAGTGTATAATGTTGAGGAAAATCCATCAGATGGTCTTGACAGGTGTTTTACAGTCTCTACACATATAAGAAAATGACTCGTGGGTTTTTGTATATGCAATGACAAGAGGATTAAAAATTAATTAAAATTATTCAAAATTAAACAGAAATAACACAAGCTTTTGCAAGTGAGCAGAGTGGAAAACAAGATATCATTGACCCCAGAAATGGACAGATGGACTCTTTTTGCTGTGAAATTCAAAATCATAATAAATATATTATAAATCTTGGAATGTACTTGTACGTAAATTAATAATTAAATGCCCCATTGTTTTTATTAGGAAATTAATTTTGTTATGGACTGTTCTAAACTTATGTCTGTGTTATGTACAAGATGAATAGCTACTTTGTTTTCTAATTCAGGAAAAACCATGGTTCCTACATGGTTTGGGATGATGCATTAGAGTTAAGCCCAGCATTTACAAGGTAATAATAATAAAATATTGTTTAATATATGAAGCAATGATTCCGTTATGTTTATTGACCTTTACGTTATTTATGCATTTTATGGCACTTGCTACCTGAAACATAAGTGTCCTAAAACAAATAAAGATTTATTTTTGCTTGTATGTTAAGTTATCAAAAGTTTTTTCAAACAGTCTTTTTAGAATTTTTCAGCAACAATTCAACATTGAGAGAAAGGCATTATAATAATAATAATAATAACGCGAATATTTATACAGGATAACCTATCAGTTCTAATAAAAAGAACTGTTATCAAAAGGGTCCTGTAATTATCTCATAATTAGCTAAAAAATAAAAAATCGAAAAAGGAAAATAGAATAAAACTTGTGATTCTTTAGATTCTAAATTTTTAGTTTTAGACATTTTTAGTAGCTGAATGTTCTGACTTTTCTCAATACTTAATACCTTATGATAACAAAAAATTGTTTTAAATTACTCTTAAAAAGAAACCTTGAATTTACAGTTCTTAAATGCCGAGGTAAAGTATTATAAACTAGAGCCCCTTGAAAGGCAAAACTTCTCCGTCCAAATTCTAATTTGGTTTTGGGAAGTTTTAGTGATCTCTACTGATCTCTATATTAATTTTCCTTGTTCAATTTCAGGGAGTCTGAATTTCTTCTTGACAATTTGGCAGGTATTTATTTTGAAAGTGAATATACAAAATTAATTTTTATGTCTTTGATAAAACTTGCAAAGAATAATGTTGTGATAGTTCAATAATATACCATTGTATTGATCCTTAAAGTTAAAGAACATTGAATTGTTTAGACACCTAACTATTGGTGATACTCAATCAGGGATCTGGGCAAAGTCGCATCCAAACATACTTCAGATTCCTCATCAAACCAGAGCAGCTAATTGGGACAGGAGATTATAGCGTGAAATCAATGCAGGGGTAGTTGAAATTTGACTGCAAGCAGTTCTCTTAGTTTCTTTTCAAAACCATTGGGGTAGCACAAACATGGGAAAAGCAGACTGCGATAATGCAAAAAGTCTTAGTTGATTTTCCTGTTTGTGATAGAAGATATTTTCTGGCCATTCAGAAGCAGGTAATCAGATAAATAAAATGTTTTTGAATCTTCTGATTCTGGAACTAATTCATACACCTCTTTCATAATGGTGGCCTATTAATGTATTCTTTTATAGGTATGATAACTAGCCTTTCTGACCTCGTTATCACATGTAAAATACAAAACAATTCTTACTTTCAAACGAGACCAGGAAGGTTCATTCACATACATATAAAAGAATAGATAAATGGGCGGCCATTATGAAAGAGGTATGTTAAGAGTAATTACCCAGGGGCTTTCCTGTCTTTTATTGCTGAGTCTTTGCAATGATTCTTCTCATAAACAACAGTTCCTTTACCCTTTCCTTTGTATTTCTGCAGATTTATTTTTGTGCAAAAAACCTGGTTAAAACAATAGGCTGATTTAGCAACAGAAGGGGAGCGCGCACGTCAGATGATGACCGGAAAGCGCGCAAAAAGGACTAAACGCGACTTCTGGTGCTCAATTTGCCGCTCTGCCATTGGTCAAGCCAGTTGTTCGGTTTGCGCGCGCCGTCGTCGACTGACATTCCCGTTGGCGTTCTGTTGCTAAATCAGCCTTAAGGGTAAATGAAGGGTAATACGACTTGCTGGTATTTTCCCACCCTTGACATTGGCTCTTTGTATTAATCGGGTTTTCAAGGTCTGTTTTGTTTAGCTATAAAAAAAAATGCGTAAAAACTTTTCTTCAAAACCTTTAAGAAATTTTTAAAAAGTTAGAAAATATAATATACAATGTTTCGACGTTCTTAGACGTCATTATCAAGTAAAAAAAAAAAAACAGTATGAATGTTCTATAAATTATACAAGAAAAAGCAGAGAAAATAGTCTCATTCTAGGTTTTTAAAAGTTCTTGACTTTTTTTTGAGTTATTCTTTAGCTCACTGTTTGCTTCTTGATTTCTTGTTTTAGCTGATCAAGAACCAGGAACTCCTGAGCTTCAAATCTATGAGATCCCTTTGGACTCCCTTGGGCAACAGCGAGTGTACATTGGAACTAAACGTATTGCTCCCAAAAGTGATGATCACAAGGAGCGTACGCAGGTCGCAAAGTTTACTAAAAACAGAAAGCACAGGAGGAAACATCGTGAAGATTTTCGGGTAAACACGCTTCCCGCCACAGCTGGCAGAAGGGATCATATTTACAGTTCAGTTAATGATGAAGTCAACAGTGCTTTAAGTGAAGGTATGATCATTAGTGTGGCAGTTTACAGCATTTAGTATTAAGCACATCTGTTTTATGTGTTTTTAGATTACTAATATATTGGTTTCTTTAATATATATCCTAGCGGTCAAATCTTCATCTACTCATAGAAGCACTGTAATTTCTCACGCGGTTGCCTACTCGTCAAGAAGGCTTCCAAAAGCGTGATGAGGTCTATACTAGGGAGCTTGAGCAAAGGCGTTTTTGAGTCACGCACGTCAACCGGAAGTGAGGCCTTTTCCCTTTTAATATGCCTTGATGTCACCAAATGTATCTTGCTAAGTGTCTTCACTTGACCAAGAATGCAAGAAGTCCACTTCTGGTTGACGTACGTTGCACAAAAACGTCTTTCCTTATACTAGTAACTGTCTGTTTTTCAAGCGTTACCGTGGCCCCTACGAAGGTTTATTTCTTTTCATTAATCAATCAATCAATCAATCAATCAATCAATCAATCAATCAATCAATCAATCAATCAATCAATTTATTAGTGTCATAGCGTAGGATAGGGTTGCCCCCAGTATCCGAGCCATTACATTGTTACATGTACTTGAAATCATTTTATCTTTCAGGTGACCTGCGTGAGGGTAGGAGTGTCAGTGGGCACACCCTTCCCACGGTCATATTGTCAGCTCAAAATCTACTTAAAGGAGACTTCTTAAAGTCCAATAATAGCGGATCATCTCTCGATATTAAAAGAGACATAAGATCGCTAACGCTTGACTCTAAAACCAAGAGTGTATCCAACTTGTTTCAGAACAGACCGCTGCCTCCTGCTCCCAGTAAACGCTTCTCAAAAAGTCTTGATCGTTTGCGGTTTCTGGAAACCGGGCAATTCAGTAAAGGAAAAGGCAAAACGTTTCCTTTTCATCAAAAACGAACTCCCAAGCGAGCTCATCCTATGCTCGTCAAGTCTTCAAGCTTCGGGGGTACATTTAATAAGATAATTAACGCATCGCAGCCTCCAGTGCCAGCACCTAGAAAAGGATCTTTAGATCTCTGGGATAAATCAGCTGCTTTCGATCTGGGTCATATAAGGAAATCACAGTTATGCCACAGACATTCGAAGTCTTTGGATACTCTTCTTCTCTTGCGTGATCTCAGTTGGACGGCCTACGATGTTGATATATATCACTCGTATGCAAGCGTACACAGCAACCAAAGTGATAACAATAACGAGAAGGAACCTTCGTATCAAAGTGTGACAAGCGATGAAAAGCCCTCAAGTCTCGATGAAGGTAGCGGAAGACTAAGCTCTCAGGGTAAAGCTAGAACTTTATCTGGCCCCCCTGTTGATAGCGATGACCCAGATGAGCATTTTGATGAGGAAAATCCTTATGCCAGTGTAAGTGAGGAAGAAATGTCCAAAACAGGAAGTTCTCAGAGTGGAAGGGAATCACGAAATTCAGATCAAGAAAGTAATATAAGAGATAGTGGCGCGCCTTCCAGCACTTTAGAACCTGAAGAGTCTACTTCTCCTTATGCTTCGGTCAGAATAAGTCAGATCCCCGGGCTGGTTATCCGTCCTTCGCTGGGTGAGGAAAGCAACTGCAACGAGGAAGTCTTTGCGACTGAAGCTGAGTCGGATTTCACTATAGGTACTGGCAGTGATCCTAGAGAGGATGAAGATTTAAAGCGGGCGAGCACACACACCTATCTGGAACTTTTCCCTGACAGCGGCAGAGAGAGCATAATCTCAGAAACGAGCTCGGGGTATGCAAGGCCATTAGATGTACTCTCAGATATATCAGAGCCTTTGGAAAACACTTCCGTTGATGCTGATAGTTCTTCTGATAGTGCTATTAAGATTCTTGAACAGTGTCCTGAGAAAAAGGATGATTTGGTGAATCCCGGTGAAGAAGGGACTGAAACAAAAGCGACTGCTGCGAAGACCGATCCTCGACTGTCACAACTTTTCTTTGAAGATCTCCGAGAAGATGAAGATGAAGATGAAGCAAAAAGCGAGCTCGGAGAAGGAAGATCACCCACAGATGAACATACTTACGAAAACTCACAGGTTTTTCAGAACTCAAAACATCGGAATGCTTTTGAGCAAGTAGAAACCATTTCTAGCGAAGCTGCTAACGCTCAAACATTTTATCTGCAAGAACCTCGCCTTTCCGAGGAAGTGCATGTCTGAGATATTTGACGACGCAGTCGGTAGACGCTCTGAAATCAGGCTTAGATCAGTGGTTTCGAGGAAAAGAGAAGTTGAAATTCATTAATGTTAAATTTAGTTTTGTAGATAGTTAAAGAGCTACATCTTTTGGCTCTTAAAAAATGGCTTATGGTGTTAGTTTGTATAGGGCTGTTAAGAGATTTAAGGTGAGGGATTTATAAGTTTCGTGTAATTATGCAATTACGAGTAGTATGATTATAAATCGTGAAGAAATACTTGTTAATACTTGACTGGGATGTAACGATCTACCAGACAAGGTTTACGCTTGGGAAAGCAACTTTTCAGAATGTGAAGAATATCCTACTCTTCAAATTGAAGGAGATCATTTGCGGCTGGCCCGTAGATGCGTGTTGAGCTGGGCTCACTATTGAATGCATATCATATCTGTATGGTTGTTATGGTAACCAGCCGGGTGAAGGACGCTGACCTTAAAGCTTCCGGAAATCTCAACTCAATCGACCCATGGAAATTTGAGCAGGCTCAAAACTTTGGCAAAGTCGATGAATCGGGTTGTCTGATGAAAGTAGATCTTGTCCTCGTAGTTAATAAACAATCTGATCTTTGAAAACTAAAAGAAGGTGAAAAAAGTCAGACTTAATTTGAAAGGGAATTTTTTCGATTCAGGTTTCTTTTCTTTTCTCACATTTCTTTTCTTCTTTTTCTCAACCGCTTCGGTTATTAGTATATCTGAAAGGATCACATCTACTTTCATCTATTCCCATCACAGTTAATGATTTCATACTTTAAGCCGAACCTTTGTCATCTTGATCAAACCCTTCTTTCCGTTTACACCCAGTACTTGGAAGGTTCAAGCAAACTTGAAGTAAAACAAGGATACAGACTGAAGTTACGGATTGCGCGCGGTTAACTCTCGAAGTCAAGTGCTCGTAGTGTAATTAGTATAAGACAGAAACTAATTTTTATGTAATACGTGAATAATGTGATGATTAGAAATCTAGAGCAGCTAAGAGCTGATATAAGGAAGAAATCTATCTAGTATATGAAATGGTAGCAAAATTTTAAGATCCTCGATTTGATTTTGTGGATAGTAAGACTGTTGCCTTGTTTTGCTCTTCCAATAGAGTTAGTGCACGCGTTTTTGATTGTCTTTATGGTATACTTAAAAAACTAAAGATTCTTGAGCAAAGAGCTATAAGACGGAGATGTCAGGCGCTCAAACGGTGGTCTGGGCTGGGAGAGTTATTTTCAACACTTTGGGAATGACTAACTTTTCACGGAAGATGGTTACACGCGGCTGGCCCGCCGGAGTGTGTTGAGCTGGACTCACTGTTGATTGTAGATCACTGTAATTGAGAGTCTTCTGGTATTGCTGGGCGATGAGCCGTCGCAAGCTCTTATGCTGGTCTTAAAATAGGATACAAATAATGTAGTAATAAGAAATCTGGTGCGGCCAAGAATTTATGAAAAGACAAATAATTATATCTCTATAAATTTTTGTATTGGTAAGAAAAGTAAACAATGGAAACGTAGCAATTAAAAAAATGGAGTAAAGATCATCTGGGCCCAGTTGTTCGCAGACCGATTAGCGGTTAACCCGGGGTTAAATTCAGGGGCACCCAATGGATCTGTTCCTCAAAATATCTGTTCTTCAGGCACATTTTTGCTGGCTGGGAGATGTGGAAGAAATAATAGTCCCTGGAAGGAAAGTGTTGCTGGGAAAAGATAATTCAGGGTGTCAGAGGGGATTTGAAGTCTAGAATAGCTGCTACGGGTTACTTGTATGGGTTACTTACCACTCGAGATCTGAATTGTGCCCTATGAAACTTCCCAGTAAGTCAGGTTGCAGGTTGTGAGGTTGCTGGCTGGGAACTCTTCCATCAGACTTGCACCCTCACTCCTTGTCTATTAAAAAAGGTCGTTAGAGGGTTTTACGAATTTTATCAGAGTCTTTTGAAATAAGTGCGAAACAACAACAAAAATCCAGAAAAAGAGTTTTAAAGGGCAACCCACGGGGACATAATTTAACCCTGGTTTCTTTGACTTGTGTTCAAAAGTATTTTCTCGGATAATTTTCTCTGTTATTTTTAGAGCTTTCAATCATCAACTTGTAGACGAAAAGAATTAAAACTAAAATGCTTTTTAAGCTGTCAAATCTGAATTCAAATCTCGCACTAACCCTGGGTCATCTTAACTCAGCTTCGAACAACTCGGCCCTGATGTATATGTCGACATTCTTGAATACCTGGGGGCAGTTGGCTGAATTCGGAGAAAAGCAATACTGATTCAGAAGAGAATATTTCAACCGCTCTTTTCTCTGGCCTACCCTTAACGCTTGCCTCGGATGTCCGAGAGTGGACGCTAGAAAGTAGGTTTAAAGAGCTCGAAGTTAAGTAGTTGTACGAGAGGAAACAGAAGACCATAGGTCGTTGTATATAAATACTGTCAAGTGGAGTTAACATGAAAATAAAACTTAACAACGAAGGAACACCAATGATATGCGTAACACTGACTTGCTAAAAAAAATTTAAGGCTAAATACAAAATAAAAGATGCAAGATCGTATTAAAATTTACTGTTTTGACGACTATTATGAGTGACATTGTTTAGTAATTTACAAATTTTGCTATGCCTTACGAGGGTAATGCCCAGGCCCCCTCATATAGTTATTCAAGGCATGGGCTTCTAGTTGTTCAGTGAAAAAGTGAAGGGGTAATCTTTTGTTGTAGCAACGAGAAAATTTGTCAGACTCATACAATGAGCCCCTTTGAGCCAATTTGGCCGGCACAAAATTTGCAAATGAGGTCACCTGGCCCTTTGATGGCTTCAAAACAACTCTTAAGTAAAATGGAAACACTATTTCCTGTGGCCTTGATTTCTTCTGGTTGCATGGTTTTAAGGCCATAAGAAACTTTTTTCTGTGCTTGGCAATGTTAAGATATTGTAAAGGAAACATCTGATAAAAGGAATCAGTTATTATGGCGGACTGGGTACTAGCCAAGAAAACCGTTGACATATTCATATAAAGCACAGTTTTGGAGTTCCTTATATTTCAAATTGTCTTCTACCAGGAGATGGCTCCTGCTTCTACCGATTAAATTCCTCTCTTTTGCTTAAAGCTTTTCCCTTTTTAGCCTGGGACCAGGCTTCGTATTGGGGGAGAAAGGCAAAAAAAGGGGTCAAATAGGAAATATATCTGCGATCAGCGAAGCGAGCCGAGCGGTATCCTATGGGAAACCAGGATACCTATTTGACCCCGTTAATGCCTTTTACCCCCACTGCGGAGCCTGCCCCCAGGTTAGTCTTCTTAGACTTTGCAGCCGTACAAAGTCACTTAGCCTTAATTGCTTTATTTTGATTAGCTTTACATTTTTCCAGGTCTCCGGAAGAAATGGAGCAGAACTTAGTATTAGGTACTTAAAAGCCATTTTACAAGTAGATCAGGAGACAGCCATATCGTTCATAGCGACAGAGTCGGTATCGTAAGAGCGCCTATGACCTTGTGAAAATCAAAAATCGGAGTCGTAAGCAGAGTCATAAGCGCGACGGAATCGGAGTCGGAAGAATCAGAACGTCTCCATTTTCTTCTGATTCCGTTTATGACCTCGTGAAAACCAGATCGTCGGAGTCGGAAGCAGAAAGATAAACCAATCAGAATCCACGCTTGATGACTGGTTTGGTTCTTCTGCTTCTGCCTCTGCTTGCGTCTTGCGACTGCGACAACCTAGTTTTCACTTGATCAAAAGCGGAATCAGAACGTGTTTTCACTCTTCTAGTTACGACTCCGACTCCGTCGTCGGTGCGTATGGTGACGTCAACGCTACAATTTCTCTCTACATGCGGTCATGCGCGAAGTCGCAGCGCGCCTTATTTTCTTTATTTTCTTCCTTCCCCGCCTTGTCTAGTTTACCCTCCTCCTGGCGATAACCAATCGAAAGCTACCAAATTCCCGCCTTTTTGGCGCCCGGTGTCAAGCAGGGCAGGTACGAAGCTAAGGAATATAAACGAAAACGGAGATTTCCAAGTTTCCTTGTTTACTTCTTGGTCTCTGAGGGTAACAAGGAACTTCAACTCAACTTCGCCAAAAGTACAAAAAACGTCAATCTTCATAGCAATGAAGGAGAAAATAAAAACAAGAAGTTACCTGTGCTGTGAAAATTGCGCAAGGGCGGCCCTCTGCGTAGGAAACATCAACAGATGAAAGTCTCCAAAATAAGAAACAAACCCTTTTAGGAGATGAAAAGAACCTCAGGTAAGCTTTGCTAAGACCGTTAAATTACAAAAGCGACAGTTTTCTTGTAAGGCCGTCAGGCAGCTGAAAGCACTCCTCGTTTTTTTTAACAAAGCTCTCTTGGACGAAACGGTGAACCAAGACTACTTTGGAGGGAGAAAAATTAATAGAGCACACATTTTATCTTAAAATTACGAACTTCGTAATACTACCATCATCGTTGTCAAGTGTATTAATAATCCGGCAATACATATTTATAAGCTGATTCAGTATCATAAACCCTTGAAAACATTAGCTTAATTCAAAATAACCGGTTTACTGTCCATATTCCTCCACTTAAAATAAGCTTACTTTGTTTTTACAATTTTATTCAAACGGTTTATTATGACTAATAAGCTCAATTTCTAAATAACCAGCTACAGGGTTGCCACCGAGTTGAGACATTTTTTTTCCATGGGCAGGAAAAATCAAGAATTTTAAGGTTAGGAAAACAGATCAGATTTTTCTGCAGGTCATACAACCGGGTCCTCTATACTGCCAAGACTTAAACTTTCCAGCGTTTGTTCGTTTGTTGTTGTTGTTTTGCTAATATCATTGTACGTTAAGCTTGTATTACTTTTTAAATTTCTTTTTGATAACTTTTGTATAGACATTATTAAGTAAAGTATCTCTATCACGAATGAACAAAACACGTTAACGTTATTGTTGTTTTTAGATCGCTTAAGACGGAAATAAATGCAATGTACCAAACACTAACTACACAAAAAATTGTTAGTAATCACATTGCCATAATCTTATATGGAGCGATCAAAGTAATTTTTTTCCTATCATATTTACTTCTGTTTTTAAAATAATATTTCTATAAATTCTATTCACTTTGTCTCACAACAGTCGGTTTAAATCTCGACTACTTTTGACAAAGGATACAAACATAGACTAGAAAGATGAAAGATAAAAGGGAGAGAAAAAGAAAAAGAATTCCGTATAGATAACATCTCCGAAATATAAATGAATAACTTCTAAAACCTTTGTCAGCTGTATATGAAATCCACTTAATAAGAGATTATGAAACGTTACCGGTAAGATCGCACCAAAACCCACCCTCCCCCTACGCCCCAACCTTGCAAGTTGGGGTTACTTTTTCTTAAAAGTTGGTCTAACATTAAATGGTTTAGAGATAAGGATCTACCTGCTACCTGTACTACAACACCATAAACACACATGTAAAATGTAAATAATTATCTGCAAGACTGACTACTGAAATCACTCTTGCTGTTTAATAGGAAAGAAAACTCTAAGCTGCTCTAGGAAGATCCATGTTAGAATTGTATGAGGTGCTAAACGGACCCATGCTGGAACAAAACCCTGAAAAAAAGGGGAAAAAAACAGTTCTTAGTGGTTATTAAGTACATAACACCTCTTCTTTCATTCATTTTTATTTCATTTCAGGAATAAAGTCACTTAAGTTTTAAAATCATGCTCCACAAGAGACTGCTTAAAAATTATCAATAATGTAGGATATTTTATCACTCATTAAAATTGCGCAATGCCATCCCTCCTCTTTCCCTGTCTCAAACTGAGATAGGATTTTCCTACAACCCTCAAGTCAATAGGCCAATTCCGAGTTCCAAAACCTCTCTTGTCAAAACGAGGGTAAGTACAAAACCTTTCTTGTGAAAATGAATTTAAATTGCATGAGAATAAAAAACTATTTTTATATCAATAGCTTTGCACTTAGCCTCGCTTTGAGACAGAGGCTTGGGGCAAATTGGAAATGGCCTATACAACTAACACGGATAAAGCACAAGAACCTGTATCAGTAGCTAAAGCTAGAAAGAAAACAGTGAGTCTTATCAACTTAGTAACACTGCCTTTTTCCTAATGAGAAAAAGCCTGAGTTCAGAACAATATTGAAGTAGCTACCAATAAAATTTAAACTGCAGTCCTCTTTGGGCTGACTGATTTTGTATTTTAACTATGCTAAAAGAAAAGATACTGGTGGAAAATTCAAGGTATGCATTGGCATTATTTGTAGTGGTTTTCCTCTACGAAGTTATTATACATTTGTTCACATTAAGATAATAGCAACCTTATAAAAGCCCATAGGTCCAAGCTTTGCTGTGTAAAGAACACAATGAGCCACACTCTGAAAGAAAAAAAAGGAAATCAGCTGTACGATAAACTTGCATGTACTTCGAAAAATAAAGTTTTTGAACATCAAACTTTTGTTCTTGGGAATAGTAATGTATGATGACAGGTTTAAAACAAAGGAAAATAATACTGAAATAAAAAATACAATTTTTCATTAAAATGCAACTCTTGTGAAAACTCCACAATTCGATGACTTCAAAGTACTTATTTTTAGCTCCAATCTCAACATTTGAATTCCTTTGAATTATAAAAATACATGCAGTGTTAAAACACCAGGAAAATGCATTCATTAATAACATTGTAATACACAACAGCTATTCTAGAGTTGGTATTGTAACAACAGTGAAAAGTAGCATTATTTTTTTAAATGTTCCACTATGTTTTGTAGGGGAGTGCTGCAAATACTGTAAGTTTAAAACAGCCAGTGAAGAGAGGTACTAGTTTTACCTTGTACTGGCCTGGCTTGGCTTCCATGAGTCTTGTTTTCATTACATCAACAGGTTGTGTGATTCCAGTGGCAATTGTACCCTAAACAAACATTGACATAGTTTCAATGATTTTTAATAATGATTGTTTCCCGTTAGCAGTTGTGTAAATTGCATCAAGTACAAAGCATTTCTTAATTTAATTAATTATCTTACTTCTCCCAGCTATTACAACTTGAAGAAGGCAGCTTGATATGAAACACGGGAACAGGGCAATTAAAATTAAACTGTCACTACATAACAAAGTGCATCTTAAACAGAAGTCAATATTTGTGATTACATTGTATGTAATGTGCTTGTTGATCAAAAAACAATTGAAAATTGTAGGAAAAAACACACAGCAAAACATATCTTACCGCTATAAAACTTGCTGTAAAGTGTGTGATAATGTTATCTTTAAAAACTCTGCAAATGACAATTAAAAAATAATAATAATATGTACAGCTGGATGTAGTGACAATGCATAAATGCAAATTAAGCAATCAAGGTTTCCTTTAAATTCTTGAGTTATCTACTCTTGACCTGACTCAAATTTGGACATTGAACATCTAAGAGTGACAATAATGATTCAATTAGCAAATTATGCCAGGCTCTCAGTCAGTGTCGACAAATGAAAAAAGCGCACAAGCAAAGAAATAGTGATTAAGTGGAAAATAGCAGTAGAAAGATGGGGAAAGCCTGTAACCACTACCCCACCCACTTCCTGAAAACCGCAATGTTAAATGTCAAAACATCAAAAGTTGCAGTGTAGGAGGGTTTCATATGCTCAAAATGTTTGTTAGGCATGCCTGAGGCCAAATGATTGACATAAACTGTCACAATAATATTATTGACCAATCCTAAGTACAGCCATGAAGCTGGTATACCCGAATGCTTACAGGCTCCACTCTCTGTCTCACCCCAGCCCCCAAGTGGTTTTCACGTAACTTTTTCAGATCCACTTTCCCCACTATCTTGGAGCCTGCAACAGGCTATGATCCAATAGACATGTAAAGAATAAATAACTCACCCTGTTGCAAGTAAAAGTTGTTTTGCTTGGTCATAGCAAGCCACCTGTTAGAAGAGACCAATTTCAAATAATTTCCATTTTATTTTCCATGGAACATTAAACATTATATCTCACTTACCGTAAAATCCCATGTTAAATAATAATATAATAATATTCAATACTTATATTGCGCTTTTTCTATAAAAATACTCAAAAGCGCATTACAATATTATCAATAACTAAATTAAAACCAGTAAAATCACCCGGTAAAATTACAATATTACAATATTAACATACTAGGCGCAACACCGTGAAGAATCTTAAATGTAACAAGGAGAATCTTAAAATCTACGCGCAAGCGCACTGGTAGCCAGTGGAGTTCTCTTAGCAAAGGAGTAACGTGACAATACTTAGGTGCACATTAAACCAATCGAGCACTGGCATTCATGACTCTTTGAAGTTTCTTAATTTGATACTCAGGAGCACCGTACAATAAACCATTACAGTAGTCAAGCCTGCTTGTGCTTGTTAAAACCCCCCCCCCCCTCCTCCACCCCCAATATAAGCCCATCCATTTGGTAACAAAGATTTTATTTCAGATATAAGCCCATGTATTATTATAAGTACGTTCCTTTTGCGTTTCTATACAAACATCAAAATTTTTAATCTAAAGACATAGGCATAAACAAGTGGCTGTGGAGTTTAGAACAATAATCATATTGATACCGAAGAAAGAAACAAATGTTCATGCATATAATAACAATGCTACGAGTTCTGTTCCACTGTTCATTTCCAACACAACTGTTCAACTCAGTTGCCACTTGAGCTGGAACTATGAAACTATGAAATAATTGTTCTCAAACATTCAAATACAAATATGAACTTTGTGAAAGCTACCGAGAGGACCATTTCACGGCAAACAGGCAAATTGATAACGCTAAGGCTTTTATTTTTTTTAACTTTTCTTCTGTTTGGTTCCAGTTTTTCCAGTCACATAACTGCTTTATAGATGTTTTTGAAATACGTTATCCGTTTATTGTGACGCACATTAATGTATTATGGATGTAACTCTAAATGCAATGGTATGTTTGCTTTGATATTATTTGCTTCTCAGAAACGTTTTATCTCGTTGTTCCAAAACACTTTTTTTATTCCACGTATATGCCCCCCCCCCCCCCCCCCCCCCCTCGAAATAACCCCCCCCACTTTTAAACCCCCCCCAAAAACCCTATAAAAATTCTTTAACCCCAGGGCTTAAAAATTGAATTTACAAATTTACTATTAATAAAAAAAAATCTAAACCATCCTCACTCCAAAATATCAAAAAAACACAACTTATAAAAATTTTTAAAAACTTTTTCCTTTTTTTTGGACCGCAATTAATGTTTTTTGGAGTAAACTCAAAATGAAAGGTGTTTTTTTGTTTGATTTTTTTTCCTTTCCAAAACCTTTTTTTTCCTTTTTTCCAAAACACTTTTTTTTTTCCCCGTTATTCCCCCCCCCCCCCCTGCCTACCCCTGGAAATAAGCCCCCCAATTTATAAGCCCACCCAAAAACCCTTATGAAGTTATATCAGCCCAGGGCTTTAACATGTGATTTTACGATATTTCATTTACTAAAAAAAATCTCAACACTTCTCCTGGTCAAAATTCAGAAATACCAGTTTTGCTACAATGGGAGGGATATATTTTTAAATATTACAATATTAGAAACTTGTATGCCATGAAACACAGACCCCTTTGATTAAGACACTAAGTTGCTGATCGATAATATTATTCTATTGAGCTACTGTCAAATATGGAAAAAAGACGTCATAACTAAGCTTACAGTGTACCTGAGCCACTGTCATAAGAAGAGCCCTCGATGAGGTCATAGTGACACCCCTCATCCATGTGGTCACGCCCTCTGTTTTATGGTAAAGAAAAACAAATCATTTATTAAATTATTTTATAAAAATGAACATTAACATTAATATATTTTGCAACCTTTATGCATTAAGTATTATTAACTGCAAATTGTACAGCCCACAAAGATGCATTTTTTGTAAGACACAAAATAAATATATGTAATTTAATATACCTTCTGTTGCTGTTCGGTAGAGACCGTCAAAAACATGTTTATAGCTGTAAAGATACAAGAGCTAACTGTTAAGCATACCATGAGATATACTCACTGACAAGTAACAGCCCTGGCACGTATCAGATATTATCACACCTCTCAGTGTAAAGTTTATTGGAGGGCTTCAGTGCTTTTATAAATTTTCTCATTTGCAAATAACACAGTAATTTGTAATTTTTTTCTTTGTTTTTCTCAGAGACTACGAGAAAAGAGAAAGAAGCCAATCAACAATAATGAAGTAATGTCAAAAAGAATATTAAATTCAACACTGGCACTACATTGTAGGCCAGCTGGGTGTGGTGCTTAACACTATTTTTGCACTTATTCAAGGGGAGCACGTGTTTATTTGACCCCAGTAGTTCAAACAGTGGATGGCACTATCCAATGGATAAATATAATTTACTGTTTAATCCAGTGGATAAGCTTTAGGGAAACCAATTCCATTTATTCACTGGATGGTATTATTGTACTATCCACCTTTTGCACAACTGAGGCCTGGTCATCGAATTCTTAGTGACTGTATAATATTTAAGTTTCTTGAAAACACTGTTTTGACTTACTTTCTTCGTTTAGCAACATCAATAGTTTTGACATCATTTTGCATCCTGCAAAAAGTTAAAATGATGAGTTGATAGACCTGGCATGTATGACGTGTCAGAAAATAGTCCCCTGAGAGGACATGCGCTTACTACATGGCTATGAATAGTCTTCACTGCAGTGACCATAAAAAGGAAAAAAAAAAAAGAAGAAAAGAATCTACTGAATACATTGAAGAAAATATGGGTGATGCCGGGTACTGGCACTGAACCCAGTAGCTCTGCTTCGGAGGTTAAAGTGAAAAACGTTAAAGCTGTGTGCTACAAGTTCATTTAATTCAAAACAAGCAAATTTTATTTATTTAATAGTTTGTTTCAGTGTGTGCCTTGTTTTTTTTTTTTTTTTAGCAAAAAAAAATTGTCAAAGTCCTCAAAAGGAAAGGCACAATTGAGTATTGATCAAAACTGAGCCCATGCAATTGAGTAGCAATCGAAACCCCGGATCTCAATTGACTAAAGTTACTAAATTCTTGCAAATTTATATATTTAAATCTAATTTTCTTCGAAATGGTTAATGTACTTTCTTTATATTAATTAAATTATTGGGCATCAAGAAAAAAGAAAACCGATAGAATTCATCAGGAAAAAAAAGGGTGATAGTGGGTATCAAATCCAGCACCTTTCGGCTCTAAAGGTTATAGCGTTAACGCTTTGCACTAACAGGACAACAGAAATACCCTTACAGAAGGATGGACAGATAGACTTACACAGACATTGACATGATGCTTTTTGGCTATAAAGCCAGTAAGCACAAAAAAGACTCACCAATAAAAGTAGAATGCCGACATTAATTTCAACAATAATAACTTTTACATGTACTTATGCTGACAGTGCCAGTCCAAATCCCACATAAAATTTGCCAAAGAGGGCTGTTAACAAACATTTAACACACAACTAGTTAATAAATTAACAAGACAAGGTTATAACATTCCAAATAAAGGTGTACTGAATAAATGCAGAATACTTTTCTGACAGAATTTGGACTACATGGGGAGGTTTCTTATGAGGAGGGATTTTTTTCTAGCTTATCTGCAGATATTATTGGCCAAGTTACATTCAAGTAAAGCTGTGTGCCAATTGGAAATGATTACATTTTAGGATATCCTCACCTCACATTAACCATATCTGCAGGATTTCCAACAATTCCACCTAAAAATCCTGAAACAAAGAAAAAAATACAACAATCACAAAATTCTGCCTCGTAGAGGAGCTTAAAAATACCATGACCTAATAAACGCCCACTTCCAAATGAAAGCCTCTTATCTAATAAACAACCTCTCTACACTGTTAATTCATTCAGTCTCCTACTCGATTAACAAGGCTTTGCATATTTCATCTTGTTTAGTGTCAAGTTCAAAGTAAGGATAGACTAACTATGGTAATGCAGTACCCCTCAGCAAGGATTCTGACATCACTGTTAGCGGTCAAAATCAAATTCAGGTTAAAATTTTTTAACCTAGGTTGATTCTCAATTTCCTTTGTCTCCTAGCCCTAATTCATGAATAATAATTAGTCTAAGTCCAAGCCCCCGCTTGGACCCCTAAAATTAAATAGACATCCAGGGCGTGGCAATGCCTCTATCAGTATTGCAAGTCAAGGAGGCTCTGACTGTTTACATACAATGTATGCATTACAATAACAGTATTTTATGGTTACTTTACATGTATAAAAAAATGTATGATGAATTCAAAATGAAACTCGGGTTAAAATAATCTCAACGTACTTAGTTTTATTCTCACCTTCCTTTTGTCATCTAAATGCATACTAGATACCCTAATCATAAGTCAGCAACAAAAAAAGTATGCTTATGGATCAACATTTCTAATCCCACGTGGACCTACAACTCTCAATGAATTGACTTTGAAAAAGAAATAATCCACTCACCAGCCACTGCTCCAATGCATATTTTTTGGTAGAATGGCAGTGGGTCTAATAATTAATTAAAGAAACAAGAGACATTACAACCTACTACATGACAGTCAATATTGACTTACCATAAAAAATTAGCATAAGTGTTATGAATTAAACTAAACTTAAGTAATACACAGAGCACAGTTAGGCAATGTCTTTCTTGTACAAAAAGCATATTCCTGATAGCATGGGATTTGGTGGTTCCTCCTTTACAATTAGGGGGCTTAAGGGGGAGATAGGGGTAGGATACTGTACATTTAGGTCTGGGGGAAAGGCTGTGAACTTTTAACTTGGACTAACAAGAGGCTTTCCTTACCATTTGTCTTCTTTAGTTCTGCTGAAACCACCTCATATAATCCATAACGTGTAGTGGAATATGTTAGCTGATATGAATTTATGACAAAACTATGTTAGAAACTTCATAAGGCTGTTAATACATATGATGAACTTACACGTACTAAAAAAAATACAAGTCTCTCATGGGATATTTTATGGTATACTACTAAAGGGTGTGACCTTAAATTTTTTAGAACATGTATGCACATGGTTTAGAAGAGTATGTATCAACAAAGAAAAATCAAGTCACAAGTGGGATATTTTTAGGCATAAAGTGTAGCATGAGAAAGCATTGCCATAAAGGCTGGTTTTCACTAGCGACAGAGTCGTAAGTGGAGTCATAAGAGTGATTATAATCTAGTGAAAATAAAAAATCGGAGTCATAAGCAGAATCATAAGTGCAAGGGAATTGGAGTCAGAAGAATCAGAACGTTTCCATTTCTTCCGACTCTGCTTACGACTTCATCGCTTACGTTCCGCTTATGATCTAGTGAAAACCAGTTTGTCGGAGTCGGAAGCAGAAGCAGAAGGATAACCAATCATCATTACAACATAACCTCAATATCACAGGTAACCTCGAAGAAAGTCACCTTTAATACTATATTAATTTTCTGAAAATGACACCTCTGTATTCTTTTTCTGCATTGTGTAATGGCAAGACAACTGTTGTATGCTTACAGGATTTCTGTTAGGCTAATTGCTGTTTTGCAATGTGGATTTACCTCGGTCTTTGCAACCCTGGTTAACTGGCATGTTTTTGTTCCCCTTGGCTAATAAACTCCTTAATTTCTTTGTCCTTTGTAGTCTATTTGATTATGTCTTGAATTACCTTTTTAGCTAAGAATAGGTGATGGTTATGAAAAGTTTAGGCCATTGCTAAATGCTCACTGGGATCTTTTCCTAAAGTACTACCCATTGCGAGGGGGGTGAATAGGCGAACGGATCGGCGGAGTTTGAAAATATTTTTGCCGGGATTTCAGATTCAAAGCGAGATTTTAACGGGTTTTCGGATCCTGCAACTGCAGTGGATTGTTCCTTTTTTTGGGCCCGGATTTTGGACTTTGCGTGTAATAAAAGTATTTTGCCCGGATTTTTTGGATTCAGGCAAAATTTTATCGGCGGATTTGGTTAATAAATCACAACGGATCGGCGGATTTGCATACCCCTATTCACCCCTCTCCATTGCATACCACAGAATATACAACAGGCTTCTACCTTCCTGATTGGCTGTATTCTTTACGGCACAGGATGTACGTATGTATTCCTGTTTTGGAAACCACTTAAACGGTACAAAATGTACTTTTAGGGTACACCAAAAGGTAACGGGGTTTGTGAATAAGAGTACATAAATAGCCCAAAAATATCCTCAGCCCAATCCTATGATCAGCTGGTCATTGCTTAGTTTTCTGATTTAAGTGCATAAAGCTGTTATTCAATGTATCTGATCTCTGAAAAACTGGATGTTGACTCTTTTATTTTACCTGTCTCATTAAAGAAGCTGAGAGTCCATTGTATAGAGCCAAAACCCCCTGTGTCCGCACAACATGAATGCCCATAGATGTCAGATTATGAGTAGCTTGCTGTTGTGTTTGTAAATGAACCTACAATGCAATGAAACAAACAAAAGAGGGGGTTAATAAAATTATTACTTAACAGTTATATTTCATACACAGATTTTAAGAAATTTACCTAACAACAAGATCCTATGGGCTTATACTTGAATGGAAATTAATGTCAGCAAATTTTTAACGTGTAAATTAATGACACATGGGAGCACAAACTAGAAATTTGAAATGTAATTCCCTCAAACTAACATGCCAACTTCAAACCAAGATTATTGAAAATTGAATACCTTAATATGTGGTTCCAGAAAATATCCATGACAACCCCACAGAAGGGGTCAGATTTTCCTAGGGGGAGGGGGGATTAATTTGCCTAATTTTCCAGTGGGAAGGGGGGGGTGCACCACAGGGAGATATTTCCAGACGGTTCTCATGACACAAAAGAGAGTGACAAGGAAAAAACACAAAAATTCACTTCCACAATTTATTTGCCAAGATTTAAAACATAAGGAAAGTTAAAGAAGTACAAAGAAACTCAGAAACTAAGAACAAGATCGGTTCAGTGTTCGGTGCCTAATTATTAGGCCCCGTGATAGTTGATCAAGGATCAACTAAAACTCATTTGCTGCCAATTAACTGTGTGAACTTGTAATTGACGTCCACAACTTCCTGAACTTGTTCCATTAAAATGTCACATCAGAACTTTTCAAGCATGACATCTCTCTCTTCAGAATTAAAAATAACTAAACAAGACGCAGTGTTATCGATATAAATCAAAAGGTCAGTCATGGCAGAGTTGTTCTGTGGAAATGAAAATCTTTCCGTTTTGCTTAGCCTGAGAAAACAGCCAACATTTCACAATGCCACCAAAGGTTTCCCCATGAAATCACATCTGAGAAACAAGCACAGAAATTCCGTACTGATGATGCATCACTACCCAGATCTGGGTAGTGCTTCTGATTGGTTGAAGCAAATTTTACCAGCAGTATGACCAATCAGAAGCACTACCGAGATCTTGGCTGTGACGCGTCATCAGAATGGAACTTCTGCATTAGTTTCTCAGACGTCATTTCGTAGGTGGCAGGGGGGGGGGGGGGAGTTTGGAGGCTTATTTAAGAAAATCAAGGGGGGAGGGGGGTCAAATGTCAAGCCCCTTCGGTGGGTGGGGTATGGGTTTTTTTTGGCACAACCACATCCATATTTTGAAGCTGTCGGTGGGGTTTAAGAAAAAGAGAATATGAAACTCCTTCAACTTCTCGGGAGGTGTTGTTGTTTGTTGAAGCAAATATTACCCGAAGTATGACCAAAAAAAAGAACCACAGAGGTTTTGGCGTGTACCAGTATTTAGAAAGGAACCTCTGGGTTGGTTTCTCAGATATCTTTTCGGCGGGGGCAGGGGGGGGGGGGGAGTTTGGAGGCTGATTTCAGAAAATCCAGAGGCGAGGGGCGTCATACGGCAAGTCCCTTCTGTAGGTGTGGTATGGATATTTTCTGGAACCACACAATACTATGATCTGCAGCTGCAGTGTGGTATCAGTAAATGTTTTATATGGTGAATGCTAGTCCATATGGTAGCTGAAGTCTATACATGTAGAAATCAAGTCTGATTGTTGCATAATTGTAGCTGAGGGCAATTCCCAAATTAACCTCAGGGGGTAAAGGTACATGTACATAAACGTGAACATACAAGGAGGCTTTTGGTTCATCTGTTACTCTTAATATCAATTATTTGAAAAAAGGTTTTTTCAGGGAAACTACTTGAAAGGTAATGACCCTTGTTACACTTGGAATAGTTACACAGCCTTTAGGAGTTAGTAGCTTCTTTTGGAGACTGTTACTTTTGGGGTTTATTAATTTCTGAGGTCAAAACCTGTTAACATTTCATACACGTACATGACTGTCAAAATAATTATGTAGTTATGTGTAATTATGTAGTTACAGTGCAAATGTGGGAATGCTAGAAAGACAACTACAGATATCCTATTTACTGAAACTAAAACTAAAGAATGAAATTTCTGGTAAAACGTGTTTTTAAATCAAGCCACTGCTCTTTTTCTTTGGGTGTAGAACATTTGCAATAAAAGAACAGAAAGAAACTGAAAATGAAAGAAAAGCATATATGCACATTTTTCTTCAGTTTCTCCTTTTCAGCTTTTCCTTCAGTTTCTTCTTTTTGAATTTTCACTTGTAATGAATAAAAGGAAAAATAGTCAATTGTGGGTTTAATATTGGAGGTATTGTTATAACTTTCAGGGATTGTTAGTTTCAAATCAATAATAATTGTAATAGAAGGTTTTTAAGGAAAAGAAATCTCAGTGCTTTAAATAAAGTTAAATTAAAACTAAATGAACTATGTTCAGTAATTACTTCTACAGAGAGGTTTTCAAACGTTGCTTAAAAGCACTCGAAACTTTACGATACGTTTGTAAGGAGACCTCTGTCCCCTCTCCCCCACTTGCTTGTCCTAACAAGTTGGCCAACTTACATGATCATAAACACATAATTTATTTAACATCGTAGTACTCGTGCAGCTCCACAGGAATTTGCCATACTTAAAATTTTTAATCAAAATGGGGTGCAAATATGTAATAAGAGTAAAATTTAAACTTCGACAAAAATGAGTTAAACTGAAATGTGCATACGATCGCGAGTGAGTAAAATCAGCTGTAAGATACTCTATCGTGAATATGCACGACCACATCAAGACTAAACAACTTCGGGAGAAGCGCAAATGTACGCATTCCTTATCTCACGCCTTAATAAAACACACTGAAAAAAAAAGAAACTGATTGATATATCTTAATTATTTGCCTAAACTACAACAAGAATCCACGGCTGTTTCCGGATATCTAAACGGTGAGGTGGGACAAGTAGAACAAAGCATTGCCTTGATTCTAATTATTTTCCATTTGGACGGTTTCACTTTAAGAAATAAGGAGCGACTCAGACTGGGTCACTTTCAAAACTAAACAGCGGTTCAGCTCTTATGATTTTCAAAATAAACAAATGACGTCTGAGCCAACACATCGATCTGAAACGAATGAATTGAAAACTTAAACGACGAGACCCCCCAACCCCTCCCCACGAAAAATATTTTAAAAATAAATACAGGACAAAAAAATTGTCGCATTTTTTTCAGAGTTCACATTGTATTAAAACCCATGATGGCACGGGTTACATAGGCGTCTCAACATCTAGTTCAAAAAGATGCTCAGTACCTTCAACAGATCCAATGGATGCGTGCAGCAGGCAGCCATTGCTGAGGCAATACCTCCGAGGTACCATCTGTGTTTTTTGGCTGCTACTTTAACAGGTTCTCCAGAACCTTTGCTAATTCCTTCTTTTACTTGAGTGGACATTCTACAGCTAGAGCTCATGAAACAAATTTGATCAGTCCACAATAATTGGTAACACCGTCTGGTCGCATTACGTGCGAGTTCGCTCGTGTTTTAGTGTCATGGCCTGGTTACCAAGAATCTGGGAAAACTCTTAACAAATAGCCTGGTTACCAAGCTTCCGGGAAAACTCGTGATCGTGAGGTTGGGAATGAATTTCTTTTTGAGAAAAGGAAATTAATCAATACAGTGACCTTGACTGATGACGCTGGTCTTTTCCTTACATCGTAAAAATGAATAGAAAAAAACAAGCGACGTACGCCCCAAGCGATTATCTCCCGACGTCACGAGAAAACTCATGACTTTAGGGCCGAGAATCAACTCTATTTGACAAACAGGGAAATAAATGAATATAAATAGGCTGGCGCATCAGTGACGAGGATAACATAACATCAATCAATCAATCAATCAAGTTTATATCCATTTTAATCAATACATGTCATTAAACTAATTATTATCAACAAATGGAGGAGGACTACAGAAACCCCCGGGTTATGGGCTCCTGTTGCAGGCTATTACAGGATAGTCCCCCTTTAAATGACCTTAATATATTCCTCTAATATATTTGGTATCAGGGATTATCAAAAATTTATACTAGTTATAGTTGTCACTAAATCTGCCCCCGACCTTTTAAAACCCGAATGAAGACACCTTGTGGTTGTCCATGTATTTGCCATGAACCTTTGAAATGCAGTTTTCGTATTAGAGTTTCTGAGTGTAATTCTTTTGTTCTCTTTTGTGTTTTCTCAATTATTACCCTTTGTTTCCTGGGTTAATGAAAATCCTCATACATGACATGCCTAGGATGGACAATTGTTTTTTATACATCTCATAATGAGTTCAACCAACACTGCAAATGTAATAGAACGCGTGTTAAACAGCAAAACCATCTTTAATTATCTATTTGTAACTAAATTTCCTATAACTAATGTGTCGAACGGATGCTTTGGCTTCGAGTGTGACATTCTTGAACGCAACGTCGAACGCAACTGATATAAATGATTTCGCAATAAACTAACCATACAAAAACATGGACCACTGTTTCAAGTTTCTCACCTTTGAGATATTTCCCAGTTCATTTTTTCTGGCATGTCCTTGTATCAAATAAAATAATCGGGATTTCGCCATAAACTAACCCTAAAAACACATGGACCACTGTTTATTAAACCCTGAATACCTTAATATAGAACAAAACCCGGTTATTTTACGATAGCACCTTTCTTGTCTTTGACTGGGTTTTGAGAAATTTGAGCTATTCCTGATATGGTTTGAATCGAGTTTGTCGATCCACGTTGACAAAACCAGTTTAAAGTTCTGTCGATCCACGTTGCTGATTTGTGTCTGACAAATCAAGTTCTTTAATACCAAACAATTGTGCAGTACTGCTGAATAACTTTTTAACTCTATAGAAATATGTATCTCGCAATAACCTTCGCGAAACTCGGTTTGGTAACGGCACTCAAGTTAAGCCCTGTCGGTCGGGGTTACGAACTGGACGGGTGACCAACCGCGAATATCGTGTTAAAGGTCCATACGTTGTTCTTTCTCTTCTTCTTCTTCTTTTTTGCGTATTATGTAGTGTTATTGTTAACAGTGTATTGAAAAGCACATTTAGCATTATTTCGCCGCCCGCATTTAGAAAAAGACAAAAACAAAGAACAAATATGGCCCGGTGCAGTTCGCCTGAAAATTATTGTTATTCGGGCCGTAATACGGAGCTGAAACTTTGCAGACTTTGATCTATATATCTGCGGGGAAACCGGCAAACTAAGAAATCTGGGTTTTCGACAGTGTAAAACGATCATAATTCCTTTGATTCCAATCTCCTGTTCCTCTGTCTGTTGTTGTCGGCGTTGCCTTCGCTGTGCTCATCGATGTTCCTTCTACTCCGCGGTTTCTTGTTGACGTCTTCTCCTTCGTTGTTCACGCTGAATTTGAAGTCGGCGTTCTCGCTCTAGGGGAGTTTCGGTGGAAAATCTTCCCGGACGAGGATTTGGAGCCACTTGTTGTGCTTGTGTACGACACAATTCGGCGAGTGCGACTCGTTGACAAACCCAGTTTGCGCGGTTGCTGAGCCACGCGCACGCGCAGAAAATTAACCGGGACCACCATGCGCGCCTAGTTTCATCAAATCGGGAAAGCTTCGCATATACTAACAGTAATACGATACTTCTTCTTTACGCGGGGGACATTAGGGTGCCTCCTCGGGTTCCGGCCCTGCGGGGGCAATAACTTGTATTACACTATTTCAAATAAGCATTCAAAAATAGCAACCTAGAACTAAGGTTTGATTACAATAGTATTCTGATAGTAAAAACTGTTTGATCTTTTTCTTAAATATATTTATTGTAACAGACTGTTTTTTTTTTACCTGGGATAGTATTCCATATGCTAATTACTTTATTTCTAGTCGAATCAACACCTAAATTTGTCCTGTTAAACTTTTTGTGTAGATTATTTTTTTTCCCCGCAGAGTGGTTTATATATGGACTACAGTATTTTCTGTACAAAAATCATTAAAATTAGCCTGAAATTCATCCGATTGCTTCGAGTCGTTTTCTCCTCTCATCAACGACGCTACTGAGGGAGTAATAACGACTCGAAGTAATTGGATGAAATTCAGGCTACATTAAAAAACACTGGAAGAGATTTTGTTGTAAGTTTATAACAGAACGTGCCCACAAGGAAAATCATTAATTTGATAGATGTCTAATAAATTTAACTTTTGAAAAAGAGGCCGAAAGGAAGCTGTATATGACGAAAATGTTATAACTCTCAATGCCTTCTTTTGCAGTTTTAACAATTTTTCTAGTCTTGTAGGATAGTTGTTCCCCAAACTATGTTACCATAATGGAGGGTCTCAATGGGGTTAACCGATAGGCGTAAAACGGCCAAAAATTTAGTCGATAGCCGTAAAAATTGAAAAATTTTAACCGTTAGCCGTAAATAGAGTAAAAAAGAGTTAACCGTAAAAGAAACTGTTCCTTAGATTTGCTACTTTTAAGGAAGGTACTAAACTCACTTATGGTTGCGTTTTTTATTTCCCGGCTAGTGTGGCTCCGTACGCACGTTAGGTAAAGCGCCTTTTAGGTGTTGACCAAGACCTTGGCTCCATTTCCGCCACTCTCTCGGGGAACTAATTTTTTCCATAGCGAAAGTGTGGCTTCTTGCTGGGGTTAATATCTGCGATTTTCAGGAGATCGTGCCCTCAAAACACTAGTGAAACAACACGAAGAGATGTCACTGTTTGTAAAACACGTAGCCGATAAACAACATTTCCCTGTTTTTCTCTGACGCTACGGTAGACATTGCCATGCCTAGTCCCTGTACGGCGTCTTCCCACGCAATCTCGGTCAAGGCATTTCGGTGGCAATCTCGCTAGGACCACGTGACCCGAAACACATTAGCCGCGCGGAATAATGAGGCCTACGGACAAGGCAACGGCAGACAGTCGTTCCGTACAGTCCTTCGCTATCATTCAAAAACACTGGACACGGGAATATTGTTATTGGCCGTTTTCACGCTAGAGCTAGAGATGGATTATCCGTCTGAGACTAGGCTGTGTACAGTCGCGCCCTCCCCACAGAAACCCCTTCTCCGATTTTTTCTGGGGGGGGGGGCTGTACACAGGCTATCCCCGTCGGATATTCCCGTCTTGAAACTGTCCGTCGAAATTGACGGGTAAAGTCAGGCGGATTGTTCATTCAAAATTCAAACTATTCCAGTTTCAAATTAAGAAGTATTACCTATCTGACACGAATCATCAAACGGATAACCCGTCTCACACGAGTAATACGTCTCTAGTGTGAACACGGCCATTTCTGTCATAATGAATGTCGCACCCCCCGGCCTTGAGTTGGACGTTTGCGTGTTCGCTTTTGCTTTTTCACAAGATTATTTTTAATTTGACTATTGACATTTCTATGTGTAAAATAATATCAGAAGTGAAATACTTTATAAAAAGTATGATCTATCAAATGTTAAAAGTTTTCAAAAGAATAGTTTGTTTCATCCCGAGATGATCCGGAGACCTTTATTTCGATTTAAAGATAGAAATATAACTTTTGTTAATTAATATTTAACTTTTTGAAACAAAAGAAGTTAATTTTTAACTTTTTTGTTAACCGTAACTGAAAAAAATTAACCGATAGCCGTAAAAGAGCCAAAATTTTAGCCGATAGCCGTATAAGCCACCACCCCATTGAGACCGTCATAATGGAGATATGGACAAATGAAGCTATTATACAAAACTTTTAGAAGTGGCTGATTGACAAAGAAGCGAATTCTACAGAGTGTTCCTATAATTTTAGAGATTTTTGTTACAATATAATCAATATGGCTTTTCCATGTTAAATGTTGATCGATTATTATGCCAAGAAATTTTGTCTTATCTTCTTTTTGAATTTCCTGATTGCTTAATCTAATAGTCATATTTGTTTTTAGTTGTTCAGAAAACTTCTCGTTCACATGAACCAGTTTCTGTTTGAAAACGGATATATTTTATTTCAACCAGTACTGTTTTCTCTAAAATCATTCCTCTAATCCTTGGAACTAACTCTTTGGAAGACACCTGAAGTTGTTCGCCACTGGTTTCACCCGTGACTCACCCGTATTTTATCGAGACCCTCAGGGGGTTGGCGGTAAAACGTAACAACGTAAAAAAAAAATATATCCTCAGATCAAAAAAAACTGTTTGAATGCAGAGGTCCTCGCAACACGTAAATATAACTGACTGGTTCCTCTTGGCGGATCTCTAATGAAAGAGATGCTGAAGCCTACACTTTAAACAAAACTGAATGCAGGGCTGGCACTAAGGCAAAGGGCTGATTTATTATAGGCCAATATTTCGGCTAAAAAAAGTAGCCTTCCGCAGGGCCAGAGCTATAACGAGAGAAAATATCTTTTAACGGCTCCTAAAATTTGAATTTAAAATTTACATAAGTGGTTATAAGTACAATTATAAACCCTAGATAGAATAATATACAGGTAAATGATTATACAATAAAAATAGAAACAATTCAATGTTCATTCCTTTGGTTCAGACCGTCTGGTGACAAATCAGATGCACACTTGTGCGAGTTCGGGAAAAACTTTGGCAGCATATCTTCAAGGGCGGGCCGGCAAAGCTACAGCAATCATGGCAAAACATACTTGGTGGTGTTACATTTACTGATCTGAAAAAGCCTTATACCTCATTAATAAAACACAAATTACACTGTAAAGCTACTAACATGGTTCCCGAGTCATACGTATCCAGTCGCAGTTCAAATTTAAATCTAACAAAGGAGTAAATTAAATTTAGCAAGGGCAGTGGAGCATTGGTGAAAGCGGCTCGGCGACGCTTCATCTGGGTTGAGTTTTTTGTTGGCTCTACTGAGTCTCTAGTGCCGGTTACGGCCCTTGCTCCAACAGGTTCTTCTCCAGGTGCTCCGGTTTTCCCCTCTCGTAAAAAAAAATTCATTGATTTTCAAATCGCAATTTGATCTAGATGGTAGACAACACACCGCTTAGTCGCAATTGATATCCGGATGGATTTTTGAAAACGTTACTGCCAATTCTTTTTTTTGCTCAAAAAACTACGGTCGAACCTCCATGTGCGACCACCTGTCGTAAGCGACCACCTCACATAAGCGGCCACTTATCCAAAACACCAAATATTTTCCCACTCAAAGCTTTGTTGTAGTTGAATCCCACAGTAAACGACCACCTGTCGTATAAGCCACCGCGGCCACTTTTTAGGATGACGGTTTTAGAATTGCCATCGTTTTTAACCTCTTCTCAGCGACCACCTGATACAATGGTCTGCTCTCTATGTTCGCTGTATGTAATACGTTACTCAAAGTATGAGAAGAACTTTAAGAAACAACACGGATTTACCTATGCTAAAACAAAGATTCTCTCCAAAAAGTAGGTTTGTCCACACTTCTCCTCGTAAAAGACCTTGTGCAGTAAGGCTCTCGAAAGCGACCACCTAGCGTAAGCGACCACTAACTCTTCGCATTTTAAGGTGGTCGCCTACGGGAGGTTCGACTGTACCTCTAAGGCAGCCATACAATTTATAAAAATAAGAGTGCAACCAGTGCTTTTTTCTCGCTTTCCTTCCTCATTTTCTCTTCGCCCTCTCTATTTCTCCCCTTTAAGCCCGAAATTCACACCACGGAAGTTCCGTAGTGCAATTTTCAGCTAATTGCAAGCATTAGCAAGGAAATTCCCTTTTTGCCAGTTTTCAGTCAAATGGCTGCAATTTTCGCTGGGTCCGTTTTTCAAAAATGCGGCTAGATCGATTAATTGATTTAACTTGCCATTTTTCCCGCACGGCAAATATGTTAACCAGTTAATAGAGGACTCATTATTCACCTGTCGTGTGATCTACCTTACAAAGTTGCAAACTAATTTATTATTTTTTACAGTATCAAGAGTCTAATTTTTTTAAATTAATTATAACATTTTCAATTTGCCGCTTTGTTAATTTCTAAATCGAAGATACCTGTCTTTTTGTCTATTTTATTTATCTGACTATAGTGCAATTAATGATAAAAGAAGCTCCAATTCTAGGAAACATAATTATACTATGATGAATAAAAGAAATTAAACAAACATATTAATATACAGACTAAGAACAATCTGCCTCAGATCAATTAAGACAATCAATGATTAGTATTGCTGCCTATAACAGTTTCTAAGCTGACCCAATACAAATGCAAATGACGGAACTGAAGAGCAAGCCCCTTGTGCGATTCCGGGGAAATTTTGGCGGCAGCGAAACCAGCGATAGGAATACCTCCTCGCCCTATTCTTCTTGCCAGCTTCGGCAACCCGCGCGGGGAGCACCGCCGCCAAAACTTTCCCTGAAATAGTACAAGTGAGCCTGCTCACAGGCAACACTGTCACATTAAAGGAATTACCATAACGTAATAATATGATAATACTCCGGCACTGACTCCCTATAGGCTACGAGTAGTCCCCCATTTTTCCTCAGGGATAGTAGAGCGCCACGCGAGAAAAGGCGACACGCCGCGTGTCGCCTTTCCTCGCGTGGGTTGATTTTTCACGCGCGCTCGCGTTTTGCTCGCTCTTCTATCCCTGAGGAAAAATGGGGGACTACTTGTAGTCTAGACTCCTTAATACTTATCTTTCCTTCACAGTTTTTGCATTGCCACGGAACATGGGAATGTACAGTGAAAGGTCCACAACAACGCTATTTTGCGCAAGGAAAAGAGCAGTAAACTGTGGAAGTGAGGTCAGAGATTTTTATTACCACACTGTATTTTCTTAACAAAATCATA